ACAAATAGTAGCTGTACCTTTTTCCTGTATGTGCTGAAAAAGCTGATTCCGTTCTGTTGATTTGAAGGAGGGAATCTTGAATCTCAATTTTGCTATCTTTTGCTTTACAAAAAAATTGCTTAATGCAAAGTTGGATAGACTTGACAACGCACTTTTGACAGATCTGCATTAAATCTTTATTTTTGTTCATTGTTTGTGCTACCTGCTGAATGAATTGAGCTTACCCACTGGATCTGTTGCAGTTGTGCAGGTGTGTGCAGCTATGAGGGCAGAGGAGGATTGTGTTCTATACGCATCAGTGAACCTTTGCTGAAACTGCGACCCAGGCGAGACTTGATTGAGGTATGTGCTGATTGCATCACTACTGTGACCTGTAGTATTTCCTTCCTACGAGAAGCAGGCTGGTACACTGATAAAATTGTGATTTCACTCCAGACTTGATTTCAAACATTGTCTGCAGTTTTTGTTCTGGCATTAAGTGTGTCTGGTCAACTGAGTCTACTCTACAAGTAGGCAGTTCAGCCTGTTAACATACTCTATCATTTAGTTTGACTGTGTTCTTTTTGCAACACTTTTTTTTGTTTAGAAATTATGTGGCTGGTGAATCTGTGTTCCTAACTGCACTGACCTCCCCCAGGTTGGGAATTTCTTCTGCAAGGATGCTTCTGCGGAACATGATCCTCTCTTCAGGATGGTGTTAATGATGGAGGGTGGGAAGTATATGAAGCTTCACTGCACTGTAATAAGTTCAAAGCCACTCCCTCTCTTGAAAGTTTTATAGTTCTGAAATTCCAAGGGTATCAGGTTTGCATTACCTCAAAAATCACTGATATAGTGACAGTAACATGTTCTCTGCTAAGGTGGCAGATTTCCATATTGTAACTGATACTTACATTCCCACTTCACATAAATGACTGATGCAGAGGGACATTTGGAAGAAAGAGTTTTAAATACATTATGAATGCAAATTATTTTCCTTGCTGTCTGCCTACTTGTCCCACACATCAATTTATCCTACAAATTGACATCTTATCTTGAGGATAACTGCTGGTGTTAAGCTGCACAGCTTCTGCTTGATCAAAAGACTTTTGCTGTTTTACTGAAAGATGTCTGTCTAGCTTGTTTGAGCTTGCTGTAATTAAAAGACTTTAGTGATGAAGCAAACTATGTATTTATTGGAAACACAAGCCAAAGGGCCACAGATGCTGGAAAGCTGAAACAGACTCTTGTTTCCAATAACAACAAACCAGAAATTACAGAAGAAACTCGGCAGGTCTGGTCGTTTTGAAAGAAGGGTCACTGGATCTGAAACTTTGATTTTGCTTTCTCTCCAGATGTCGCTGGACCTGCGTTTCTTCAGCAATTTCTGACTGTTATTGAAAACACAAATCTGTTTCAGATTTCCAGCATCTGCACTTTTCATTTTTATCACACTTTTATCGGAGTTTGGGGATGAAAGTGATGCTTCCCTGTGTGAAGATGAATAATAGCTTGCTAACTTGAGTAAAATTTCTTTTTAGTAACTCTACTATTTGTAGGGAGAATCCATGTACTAGATACTGATATCTATCTTGCTGCAATCCCTCAGTCATGCTGCTTATCCTTCCATAACCTGGAAGAGGTGCATCCCAGATAACTGGAATCACAGAAGCAACTAAATCAGTCTTAACTGGAAGTAATGAAAGTATCTTGCATCAAATCTAGCAATTATGTACTGTTGAATCTCACTTTGCTACACACAGTGGTACTAGTGAAGAGGATAATTGTACAAGGTTTAAAACCCACAACTGAGGTGGGAGCAAAAAAGTGGTTACATTTGGAAAGGTAGTAAGATAAATATTTAACGAATTCAGCTGCAAGTTACTACTAATACCATGCAGTATTCCTGGTGTAATCTCTGGAGATTTCAAAAGCAGAAATAGAATTCCCAGTCAATAATAGTGAGGCAAATCTGGGAAACTTGGCCGTGACAACTTCTTCTTCTTCTTCTTCTTCTTCTTCTTCTTCTTCTTCTTCTTCTTCTTTTTTGTTTTTCTAAAACTATGGATTTTTAACTTGATGAGGTGGGGCATTTTTTTTAAGTGAGCGTCTTTATACCTAAGATGTACATACAGATTTCACGTAGTTTGAGCTTTTTAAATGGCTGAATCGGCATCCATTGAAGGCAGTTTGCAGCAATATTGGTTTCTTTCCAGCTTGCTCCAGGCCAAATAACCATCTTAAGAAGTCCAAATTCCCTTGGAGCTTTTCAGTATTTTTTTTAGAAACGGCAAACTTAGTTTAAACCAGCAAAAATCATATCCCTTAAATATCAGATTTACTGTATTATTGCAATCTTAGCAATGTACAAGTAATCAGTTGAGGGTGCAAATGAGATGGCTGTCTTAAGGTTGCATCATTATTTAAGTGATTTATGCTGTAACTAAAGTATAACAGTGTGCATACTTGTTGCATTACGTTTCTATTACTCGGTGTGTTTTTACACATTGAGGACCTCCTATTAATCAACTGGAATATTTGAACAATAGATACATGTTATGAAACAGAGGTTGATTTCCCCCCCACCCCACCAACTGCCAGCCCGCCACCGCCCTGCCCTGCCCCGGCCTCTGATAACTAAAACCGAAACACCTAGAGAAGCTCGCCTCTCCTCCTAATCTGTTAAAGTAAGTGTGAAAAGTGGTATAATCTGCCTCTCTCCGCCCAATCTGTTATAAAGGGGAGGTCAAATGAAATGAGCTCCTGACAGTCTCACTCTAGATCAGCAAGTAACAATATTTAACTAACTCGAACCATAAACAAATAAACAGAACTACTAAGAACCTGAACGATTTTCCCCCTTGACTACAAACTATTCCCGAATAAGACAAAATTCTAATGGTATGCTGTTCCAATAAACAGAAGTCCTACACTTATAAATCAAATTTAATTAAGAAATACTTAATCTCTCAATTTATAACCAGGATACGTCTTCTGGAATGTCCAGTGCCTTCTCCACTGCCCTTCAGTAAGGGGCACCTTTCCCCATCACATTCTTGCCAGGAATATTAGATAAAAATGTCGTTGTACGTTTAGTCAGATGGTTTTCAGAGAGCTTGGAGAATTCTGTGAGCCAGTGTTTTTTTTTCTCTTGGAGCTGCTGGTTGTTAACTCTAACAGATGGCAGTTGCTCTCACCAATTTTTCAAATGCCCTTTTCTTATATACCCTTGATGACCTATTAATTTCTTACAGTAAGATTGGTCCTAGGCTGTCAAAACCATCACATTTAAATTTAATTGGGTTTTGGTATCTAGGGCCTAGTTTAAATTAATTAGCTAAATTCAAAAACCTGTTGTTGTGGTAAAAATGCTGCTTTGCCTGCTAAAAGAATAGCCTTTTTGGTACAATGTTTCAATTTCAAGAACTCTGCATCTGCTGCCTGGATACTCTTGTTTTTTTTTTAAATCTTCAAGCCTAGAAAAACACCCATCTTTTAAAGGGACCACACTCCCTTTTTCCCTGCCCCCACCCAAAAAAAAACAAATATTTTACATCTGAGAGTCTACTGTTGCAAAGTTGGGTACACTCCTGGTCCATAAGTGCCAGTTAACAAAAAGTTTGTTGCATTTGTACTTGGTCAACCTGCTGAGCATTTTCATAAATTTAATCACAACCTTTTGGTTTCCCAATAGACATTATTACATGAAATGATCCATGCCTTGCTGTTTGTCACAAATAATGACAAAGACCATGAGTCTCATGGCCCTGAGTTCTGCAAACACATGCGAAGGATCAACAGAATGAGTGGAGCCAATGTGACAGTAAGTACCAGAGGCAGGATTACACATAATGATGTCTGCCCCTGCAGGGCCCATATATCACATCATGTAAGAGCCTTGATTTTTGTTTTAAACATATGGAGGAGCTAATGTGATACTTTGCAACGAGCATTTTTAGCTTTGGCCTGAGCTGGGATCAGGTGGGAGAAGATTTTGGTAAGAATTAACTTCTGTATCCAAAAGGAGGAGGAGAGGAGGAAGCCTGTTTATCCCAACCTTGCACGTGAGGGCTTTGCATCTCATTGTTTATTTTGGCTCATCTTTTTTAGACGAGAGCTGCGAATGTTTAAGTTTGTGTGACCTGTTCCACTCCTATGATCCTGATTTCCATTGGTAAAGTGCCTTCAGACCCTTGAACCTAAATCTGGACTTCCTTTCCTAAACCCCTTTGCCTATCCTCTAGCTTTTAAGACCCTCCTTAAACTGGCTTTGACTAAACTTTGTCACTTTACTAATATCTCCTTGTGTGACTCTGCTTATCTGTCTGTTTCTCCTGTGAAGCAACTTGGAGAGATTTATGAAGTTAAACTTGATTGAACCCAAGGCTGGCATTCACAGGTTATAAGTCGAGGACTGAAGAGCTGAATTCAGGAACAGAAATGAATGACTGCCCTTGATCTTAAGGCAGGATTTGAGACTGTGTGGCATCAAGAAGCATGAGCAAAAGGAGGCAAAGGGAATTGGAGTGGGGAGTGAAAACTTTTGCTAACGAAAACAAGACTGTTATTGAAGGTCAGTCACTGCAGACAGGACACTTCTGCAAGAATTCCTTGGGGTGGTGTCCTTGACTGAACAATTTTTAGCTGCTTCATCAATGGCCTTCCCTCCATAAGGTCAGAAGTGGGGGTGTTGATTTATGCAGTATTCAGCACCATTTTCAGCTCCTCCAATGCTGAATCAGCCCAGATCCAAATGCAGTAAGGCCTGAGCAGTGTGTTCAAATTTGGGTTAAGTGGCAAATGCCTGGCACTTGTCTAGTGCGAATGTTAATGTCCCTCTCAACGGGATCTGAACACTGCCCCTTGACGCTCTGTGATATTAGCATTACTGAATTTCACCACTATCAACATCTAAGATTAGCATTGACCAGAAACTGACTGGACCAGTCACAAATGTCATGGTTGCAAGAGCAGATCAAAGGCTAGGATTACTGCAGCAAGTAACTCGTGACCTAACTCCCCAATGCCTATCTGCCATCTACCAGACAGAAGTCAGGAGTGTGACAGAATACTCCCCACTTGCTTGGACGAGTGCAACTGCAAGAGCAGGCAAGCTTGACACCACCTAGGACAAAGCAGCCTGCTTGATTGGCACCCCTTTGATCACTAAACTTCTATCACAAGTGTACAATATACAAAATGTGCTACAACAACTTGGGGTTCTTTTTATAGTACCTTTTCAAACATGCATCCTCTGCCAGAGAAAAGCATCAGGGCAATGTATAGATTGCTATTGCCAAGTTCCTCTCCAAGCCCCTACCATTCTGATTTGGAATTCTATTAATTCATTCCTTTTTATTGGTGGATCAATAGCTCTGTGTGTACATTGCTTACCCCCATGGGCTGCAATGGGTGAAAATGACACACACCAACTTCTCAGTGGCAGTTAGGCAATAAATCTTTCTCCTGTAAAACCACCACCCCACCCCATCCCATTCCTTGAAAGCATAGGAAACAAACCCAAGGTTTACAGTAATTAATGCATTATTCAATACTGAGAGCCTTTTCATAATAAAAGAAATTCTAGTCTATTATATTTGATAACACTGTCTAAACATTATATCCAGAGTTTCTAAGATGAAGCTGGTTTGTAATGCTTTGCTAGTTGGTGACTGAATTATTAAAAACATTCTTATTCCTGATTGGGCACAAGTAAGGATTGAAAACTACAAATTAGCCAATAAACATGCAGTTTGTTACAAAACTTGGGTCTCTTCCAGATTTATCACAACTTTCACGATGAGGTGGATGAATACCGGCAGCATTGGTGGCGTTGTGATGGGCCCTGTCAAAACCGACGGCCTTATTTTGGATATGTGAAGCGGGCAATGAACAGAGCACCATCAGCTCGAGACCCGTGGTGGGCAGAGCATCAGCAAACCTGTGGTGGAACCTACAGCAAAGTCAAGGAGCCTGAGAATTACAAGGTGAAGAAAGGGAAGCACAGAGAAAAGCCAGGCAAGCTGTCCAAATCACCAAAGGAAGGAAATGGGTCTCTAGGTGAGTGTGTGCGTGTGTCAATATCAAATAAACTTTGTTTTCTTGTAGGTGATAAAAACGGTTTCAAACCGTGAGAATGACATCCAATGTATTAAAAGCTAATAGAGTTGAACGATTATTCTATAATCGTTACTAACTTTTTTCTCTGGTTGCTTCACTTGAATTTAACAGGGTTTGAGTGAAGTTACACGTTCATTAAAAATGTCTGCTCTTCAATGGGCATGATGTTTTGATGACACTTTAAAGAGGATGCTCCATTTGTTGAACATGTTGTTTAACAACTGAATTTGTAAAACAATGCATTAGTTTATAAGTTGTGAATTTGGGTTGAAATAATAAGAATGGATCACTGCTAATTACTGAACTCTTTAGAGTGTTGTACCACAATAAGACAGAAGAAACACTGGAGTTTGTCACCGTTTAGCCTTGTGGAATTTTAGTCCACTTTTTTCTTTTGTTTCACTTTGTCAAAATTCTTAGTTTGACCCTGCCCTTGATATCATCTGGGAGCGCCACATGAAATTAAGGCACTGTCCTCCTTGCATTTATATCCCATACTAATAGTTAGTATTGATTCTCCTATCTGTAGACTGTCTTCCTCCAAAGGCTTGGCTGACTTCATGGCACATTTTGAGATTCATCATAGTGTTTTTTAAATTCTTTTTCATGGGGTGTGGGTGGTGTTCACTAGACCCACATTTACTTCCCTCTATAGCGGCAGGGAGCAACTTTCTTGAACTGTTGCAGTCATGATATGTGAGAGTTGGGGAACTCTGCTGCTACTACTGAACAAACTGTTGGCAGCATTCTCCAGTGCATGATTGTTCTCTAACAAGAGCCACTCCCAGCCTGCTCTTAGTACTTAGTACTCCGACTGTTTGTTTTCTTGCATTCAATTGTCTTTACCCCATTCTGCCAGTCTAAGGACTGCCAATACTTGGCCATCGGCCTGAATGTCTAACTGCTTTTCCTGCATGACTCAATGGTTGCTCCTGCCATTCATGAGACTTCTCTGGAATGTATGTTACCAGAGTACCTATCCGGGTGGTTATCCTTTTGGAAGTAATACTGCTATCAGTAATCACTTTGCAACAGATGCAGGATTGGATGATATTCTGTTCTTCGCTGATAACAACAAAACAGTTCTGAGGAAGGGTCACCGGAACCGAAACGTTAACTGTTTTTTCTTCACAGATGCTGTGAGACCTGCTGAGCTTTCTGGCAACTTTGTTTTTGTTCCTGATTTACAGCATCCGCAGTTCTTTCGGGTTTTACAAAAGTATGAGATTCTGGCTTGTTGTCTGCTGAGATTCTAATCAATCTTGGTTAACTGAGGTTTGACTGCTGTGTTGGATAACCATTAACCATATCTTACCATTAACTATATAGTACCTTATTAGGGACTTCCCATTCCCTACAGCCCTAGCCTTTGCAGAACAACAAATCTCCTGCATTAGTTCTACTTTGCATGAACTTGCATGATGCACCAGTGCTCCAAGATTTTTTCCAAGGCATTAGCCTTGGTGGAAGCTGCCCTCCCTGCATGTGAAGCATTCACCATTCCTATGTGCTTAATGGAATTGTAGTTCCTTAGATGTTGAGCTTTGTATTAATCTGAACCTTTTTATACTTGCCCATCCCAACTGCATCTTTTTAGCAGGTTTTTAAATCTTTTTAAATCTTTAACAAATTGTTAATGTTGAGACAGTGCTTTTCTTCTGATTCTTATCACCTGATGCTATTGATTTCCCTAACACTGATCAGAAACAGTAGGTACTGTACTGTTCTTGAGCATTTCCCTGATTGACCAAATTGGAGATCCACTGACTTTCTGTTCATTACAGAACCATCAGAACTGAAAGTGGCTAACTCTAGCTGTTTAGCATAGACTCACCACCTTTTAATGTATCGGCATCTCCAAACACATTTTGGCACTCCCAACCTTTGTTTTGATCTTAACATTTAATAAACAATCTTTCATGTTCTGTCAGTGTAAGTACTGTAGAACACAGCTTAGTTAATTTATGACTAGTGTACGTGTTATTGGTCTAAAGTTTTTTTTCTGATTACTTCAGCTTTCTTTCTTTCTAATTGTTTTCAAGACTGCTTTGGGTAATTTCTCCTTCCTTTTTACTAATGCCTTAATCCAGTTTCTGACTGCTTCCCCAGGACTTTTTTTTAAAAAAAAGTAGGACACATCTGATTTAACTGGATGTCTGAGAACCAAATTCCAGTTACAACCAGGAGCTGGGAACTTCTTGTCTGTTAAAGTCCATGATGATGTATATGCTATATAGTGATCTTCTGTCTTTTTTTTTTTAAAAGGCAGTTAGTTTGTAATATGCCTTGTCAAACCATCTTTGCTGTTAAGGATCATGAATAGAATAGCCAAGCCTTCAAAATCCACTGACAGGCATAACCAAATCTAACTATCCAAATGCTTGTTTCTGATCTTTTTTTGTTTTTAAGAAGTGACCATGTCCGTACCATGTTTCCTTCTTCCTCAGAAGCACAACTTTTTTTTTCTTCATGTCTAATTCTTCCACTGGTCATATCACTCCAACTTAACATCTGAGGGTAGTTATACTCCGACCACTTACACTTGTTTTTTTTTGTCATCTTCCACTGGCCACAACATTGTAGTCTTTTCTGGGAGAGAAGACAAAATCTTGGTATCCAACCATCATTCTTAGATTGCTTTGCTTCCAAGTTCTCACCCTGCTAGCCAGTTGCTGAAGGTGTAAACCAGACACTCGATTGGAATTATTTTTAGTTGGATGAAACAGTGAGACTGTCTCCTGACTCACCTGTTAATGACACTCTATGACCTGTTTATACATGTTATGACAAATCCACAGCCATCCAATCCTGAAATGAGGACTTGAACCCAGTCCTTGCAGTCCAGAGATAGGGACACTACCACTGCACTGCAAGACCTCTGTTCTCAATTAACCATCCGATCAAAGTTCTTCAACTTGATAGATATTTTCTAATCAACTTAATCAGATATACTAAGCCTCTGGAGTGGGTTGGACTCAAATCTAGGGTAGAGATATGACCACTGCACCAAAGATCTCCCCTTCACTTAATTATACCTAGTATCAATTCTTACAATTAAGATGTACAGTGTGAACTATCACTTAACTTTCTGAAGACAACTACCTGGTCCAGTCAGCCAAAGTTAATAACTGTTTATCTTTGCCCTGTTCTGTTCAGGTAAATCCCCAGGCATGGATAGTCGTCCTGTTATTCCATTCAATGGAAAAGGCCATGTGCTTGGAGGTGGGAGCACAGAATTGGTATCTCAGCGGACACCCTTGGGGAAGATTCCTGAGAGCAGCAGGTTGCTCAGCCCGCCCTCCCAGTTTGTTTCCTTGGGGCATGAATCAGGATCTAGGCCCTGGAATGTTAAATCCAATGAGCAGAAATCTACTTCGCAGGCTGCAAGTTTGTCTGACCCTGTCCCATTGAATGCTGTGTCACCGTCTGTCCTCACAGGGTGGCTGCTGAAAAACCCCAGTGACTACACAAGCCCAAAGACACCTAAAAGATCTGTCAGCAATAATCGGGCTTTCGTCAACATCAATGGTTCACCTGTTAGGATTGGCAGGACAAAGCCAATCAACTCTACAAAAGACCCTGTCCTTAAAAGTGGCCAAAAATGGTCTGTAACTGAACTACACAGGACTCCTCGACCATTAGGTCAATCTGCCACAGGTGCAAGTGCCAAAAAAAGGACTTGCATTGAGCCATCCTTCCCTGGAGAGTCCATCATTCATGCATTTGAGAGATCACCAGCACAGAGACAGGGTCAACAGTCCACAAAAGCAAGTGGGTCTGTTGAGGCAGACTCCAGTGACTGGCAGAGCCAGAATGTTATGGGTGCACCAGTATCACAGATGGGCAGCCTTGACATTGTGCCTGTTGACTGCCCCGTCTGTAACTCTGCTATCCTGCCATCTGAAATTAACCAACACTTGGATTCATGCCTCCAGCCACTTGGAGTGGGCAATGGAGAACACACTGCAATTTGCATGTGAAACTATGGATCGTGAGTTTTCTTTCAATGTTGTCAAAGTCTGTTAAAACTTCCATGAAAAGGGGTAGATTAGAATTTGTGGACTTAAACCCCCTTTTCCCTCTACTGTTTTGAGGGTTTAAAGAATGATATTTTGCACAATGTTTTTTCTGAAAGATGTTGCTATTATAACTAACATCTCACATGAACTGCTTCCTTTATGCTTCATGTTGTAGTAATACATTTTATTTTTTATGTATACTGTGTAATCTTTTTATCTTTGTAAAATAATTAAATTATGCACCCTGCCAATAAAGCTAATTGATCTGATTCCATGTTGGTATTTGAAGTGATACTTAAATTTTGAGGATTGAGGACAGCTGCACAAACCTGGCTTGTAATGACTCTTAAATTCCTCAATTAACACCTCAATCAATTTAAGGTACAGATCTTCTGATACAATTGTATGTCCCTGCCTCTGTACAAGGAGGTCCAGGTTCCAGTTCCAACTGTGATATAATGACCAAACCAATTTGATGCAAAATACTTGCAGTTCCTCTAAGGAACCAAATGGCTGTAATGAAATTATGAACTAAATGTTCTCTGCTGCCTGTTCTCTACGATTGTGGTACGCACAACTTTTATAGGCTCTGTAGGTTAATGCCTCTGATTATTCTAGTTCACTTTTTGTGAGAGGTCTGTCAGAAATGGTCCCTCAGAAATGGGACCAGTTCTGACCTTTTGAAGGTATTCTTGTTTCTGGGATAGCCAGCTCTACCAGAAGAGGAAGGGGAAAAAGAACCATTTCCTTGTTTAGAAAGTTGACCCTGCTCCACCCCAATCCACTTAATTGGAACAGACTAACTGGAGTAATAAATTTTATTTTTGGGTAAATAGAGTTGACCTATTGCTTCACCATTTGTTCAAAGGGCATGAATGCCCTTTGGTGGCTTGCCTCCCTTTAGGGAATGAGAGTTGAGGAGAAAAGGCTGAAATTCCCTTTGTTTTTTTTTTTTTTGCACAATGACAACTTCACTGTTTACAATCTTATCTGGTCACTTTAATCAAATCATGGTAGTCTAAGGGGTTAGTTCAAATTTGGCACTTTTAACTGCTTCTGTCTTTTTTTTTCAAAAAAAAAACTAGTTTGGCAGCACAGTGATTTTGACAGTTTCTCAGTTTCCCAAGATCCCTCTGCTCACTTGTAAATAGCCATCCAATAAATTCACTTGCCTCCCACAATTAATAACATGCTTGTGGCTAAAGAATCTAATTCTGCTTTTTAAAATATTAATATTCTAGCATCTTGAAATGAATTCCAAAGACTAATCTCCTATCTCTCTCACATGGGAGACCCTATTTAAAGGCCATGCCGGCTAGTTCTAGATTCACTTTGCCACCTCGTTCTGTCCCCTGTCCCTCCCAAAAATTGTCATCCTCTTGGCATCTACCCTGACAAGACCCACAATCTTTGTATGTAAGATCACTACTCATCCTTCAGTTAACTCCATGAGAATGGACCCAAACTCCCGATACACAACATCTTCATCCCAGCAACCAGTCAATTGAACCCTCTCTGAACTAAACTCCACCCCCTAAGAAGTGTATATATCTTTTGTAAGAAAACCAGAACTCTAAGCAATATTTCTGTGTGGACACAAGATCCACTACAATTGCAGCAAGATCTTCTGTGTTCTTTTTTAAAACAGAATAGGTGCTGCTAGCTAGGCCAGCATTTATTGTGCAAAGTCAACCACATTGGTCTAGAATCTCATGTAGGTTGAACAAAGAATGGCAGATTTCCTTCCCTAAGTGGCAAGAAAGAGATGGGGGTGGTGTCCAAGTATATGTAAATACACAGAATATAATGAGCATAATTGGGGAATAAGTAGTAGCAATTGCTGTAGCATTGACAAAAATATCAAACCAGAACAGGATTGCATACTTCTCATCCTGAGTCATGAGGATTTTAGTAGAAAGGGGACGAGGTGTAGCTGTTGACCTGGCTCAGGTTGATTGGAAGTGCATTTTGTTGGGTGAAATAGCAAATGGAAAATGGGAGACTTTCACAAAAGAGGCAAGTAGAATGAAAGCTAGGTAATTACCTATGAAAAATAATTATGGGATATCCAAAGCTAGAGTAGCCTGCACGACTAAGAATATTGCTGAGAAATATGTAAGAAAAAAAGAATGTTGATGTGTACTGGAATAGTAATAGGACAACCTTTGCAAGACATGTCAGATCATTGACATGGATACTACCGTCACGTGGGAACACCCACCACGTACATGGCAGATACTCGTGACTTGGCCAATGTTGTCTATCTCAAACGACGCAGGCAAAGATGCTCTGAGGCATGGTATATTGACAAGACTATGCAGACGCTATGACAACGATCACCAGATGGGTATTCCCTCCTAGTGGGGGAGCATGTTAGGGGTCTAGGCTCCAATCTTTGGGTAAGTGTCCTCCTTCAAAATACACAACAATGCAAAATCGCTGAGCAGAGGCTGATAGCCAAGTTCCATACCCATGAGAATGGCCTCAATCGTGATCTTGGGTTCATGTTGCGCTACAGGTGACCCCATCACACTACATACTTCCATGTGCATGCTCACACATATACATAGACACATTCTCTCACACAAACACACACTCTCTCACACACACACGCGCACACTTTTACACACAACCTCTCACACATGCACACTTTTACACACAACCTCTCTTGCACACACAGATACTCTCTCACACTCAAGTACACACACACATGCATGCACACATTCTCTCTCTCATGCACACACACACATACACACATGCACACACTTAAAGACAGACACAGACACACACTTGAATTACTTCATCCAAGATGTTTTGTGTAATTGCAGATACATTCTGTTTTGCTCAAAAAAGCCTGACCCGTTTAAAACATAGACAGATTCTAGGTAAGACCTCACAACTAAAATGCATTGTCTGACCTGAGATGTCACCTCTTCTATACATTGATAAAACCTTTAATTATCTCGGAACAATGACTTGACAGGAATCTGAATTTTGCATTTCAATCAGCAGTCTCCTTCCTAAGATTCAACAAGAGGAAGCCAGTTTTAGGGTTGTTTCCTTTCTGCTTATACATTCTGTGTCTCATACCCTCTCTCTTACACTATGCCTGAAGAAGTAACTGAGCTCCAGAAGCTTGCATTTTCAATTAAACATGTTGAACTATAACCTGGTGTCATGTGATTTTTGACCTTGCCCTCCCCAGTCCAGCACCGACATCTCCATTTCATGGAATAATAATAGCAATAGAAATCAGGAAGAGTTATCTTAAATGCAGGAGAGAGGCTAAGCCTGGAATAAGGAAGTAATAAGGAGTAAAGGATGGCAGATTGCATTAAAACAAATAGTAAAATGTTCCACAAACATATTAATAGTAAAGTATTAATGAAGGATAGAATGAGGCCCATAAGGAACAAGAAAGGTAAACTACTCACTGAAGCAAAGGGTACGGCGGAGGTACTAAATAATTACTTTACTTCTGTCATTACCAAATTAGAAAATGGTCCAGCTGAAAATGTGTATGTTGAACAACTGAGCAGTACAATGTTAGCTAAAGAAGTGCTAATAAGGCTGGCAGCACTCCAGGTAGAAAAGTATGGATGTTGTAGATTTACCTTTAAGAAAGCATTTGATATGTTACCACGTGGAAAATTGGTTAGCAAATTAGAAATGTTTGGGATTAATGGGTCCTTGGCAGCATGGATTAGATGTTGGCTAAAAGATAGGAAACAGAGAGTAGGTATAGTTGGGTATTTCTCAGTGAAGTTGAAGTTCTCCATAGATCAGTGTTAGGACTTTTATTTTTTCTTACTTATACAATTGATTTGAAGATGGGTGTTGAGGGCAAAATCCATAAATTTAAAGATAATACTAAGCTAGGGAGAAAATGAATTGCGACAATAATACAGAGTGACTTCAGAGGGACATTGAAAAGTTGGCCAAAAGGGCAGACACATGTCAGATGAATTTTAATGCAGAGAAATGTGAGGTGATTCATTTGGGTAGAAGAAACAGGGAGAGACAATATAGGCTGAACGGTACAATGTTTTCTAAACTTTCTTTAATCATTCATGAGATGTGAGCATCGCTGGCTGGTGAGCATCTATTTCCCTAGTTGCCCTTGAGAAGGCGGTGGTGAGCTGCCTTCTTGAACAGCTGCAGGATTCCAGTATTTTGACCCAGTGAGAGTGAAGGAACGGCGATATGTTTCCAAGTCAGGGAGGTGAATGGCTTGGAGGAGATCTTACAGGTGATGGTGTTCCATGAATCTGCTGCCTTTGTCCTTCTAGATGGAAGTGGTTGTGGGTTTGGAAGGTGCAGTTTAAGGATTTTTGGTGAATTTCTGCAGTGGATCTTGTAGATCATCGGTAATAGAGGGAGTGGATGGGTTTATGGTCAATGTTAACCCCCAAGGATGTTGATAGTGGGAGATTTGGTGACGATAACACCATTGAATGTTAACAAGTGTGGTTAGATTGTCTCTTATTGGTGATGGTCATTGCCTAGCATTTGTGTGACACAAATGTTACTTGACACATGTAAGCCCAAGCCTGTGTATTGTCCAGATCTGTGGCATTTAAATGTGGACTGCTTCAGTATTGGAGGAGTCACTGTGCTGAACATTGTGCAATCATCGGCGAACATCTGCACTTCTGACTGTATGGTGAAGGGAAGGTCATTGATGAACCAGCTGTAAATGGTTGGGCCTAGGACACTACCATGAGGAACTCCTGCAGAGTTCCTGGAGCTGAGATGACTGACCTCCAACAACCATGGCCATCTTCCTATGTGTCAGGTATGACTCTAACCACCAGAGAGTTTGTCCCTGATAGCCATTGATTCCAGTTTTGCTAGAGTTCCTTGATGCTACATTCAGTCAAACATGGCCTTCATGCCAAGGACAGTCACTCTAACCTCACCTCTGGAATTCAGCTCTTTTGTCCATTTTTGAACCAAGGTTGTAATGAGGTCAGGAGCTGCGTGGCCCTGATGGAACCCAAACTGGGTGTCACTGAGCAGGTTATTACTGAGCAAATGCTGTTTGATAGCACTGTTGATGACACCTTCCATCACTTTACTGATGATCAAGAGTTGACCGATGGAGTGGTAATTGGCCGGGTTGGATTTGTTTTGGTTTTTGAGTACTGGATACAACAACACTACAGGTCTGTTGGTCATGGGACTGCTTAGCTCTATCATTTGCTTTGTCTATCACTTGCATTGTTTGGCATGCAACTAGTCCTTTTTGGTAGCTTCAACAGG